CCTGGTATTACCACACCTGCTGTAACACCAGGTGTTAATACCACACCTGCTGTAAAACCTGGTATTACCACATCTGCTGTAACACCTGGTGTTATTACCACACCTGCTGTAACACCTGGTGTTATTACCACACCTGCTGTAACACCTGGTATTACCACACCTCCTGTAACACCTGGTATTACCACACCACCTGTAACACCTGGTATTACCACACCTGCTGTTACACCATGTATTACCACACCTGCTCTAACACCTGGAATTACCACACCTGTAACACCTGGAATTACCACACCTGCTGTAACACCTGGAATTACCACACCTGCTGTAACACCTGGAATTACCACACCTGCTGTAACACATTACCACACCTGCTGTAATACCTGGTGTTATTACCACACCTGCTGTAACACCTGGTATTACCACACCTGCTGTAACACCTGGTATTACCACACCTGCTGTAACACCTGGTGTTATTACCACACCTGCTGTAACACCTGGTATTACCACACCTGCTGTAACACCTGGTGTTATTACCACACCTGCTGTAACACCTCGTGTTATTACCACACCTGCTGTAACACCTCGTGTTATTACCACACCTGCTGTAACACCATGTTATTACCACACCTGCTGTAACACCATGTTATTACCACACCTGCTGTAACACCTGGTGTTATTACCACACCTGCTGTAACACCTGGTGTTATTACCACACCTGCTGTAACTCCTGGTGTATTACCACACCCGCTGTAACACCTGGTGTTATTCCACCACCCTGCTGTAACACCTGGTTTATACCACACCTGCCTGTAACCCTGGTTATTACCACACCTGCTGTAACACCTTGTATTTACCACACCTGTAACACCTGTATACCACACCCCCTGTAACACCTGGTATTACCACACCTCCTGTAACACCTGGTATTACCACACCTCCTGTAACACCTGGTATTACCACACCTCCTGTAACACCTGGTATTACCAACCTCCTGTAACACCTGGTATTACCCCCCTCCTGTAACACCCGGTATTACCACACCTCCTGTAACACCTGGTATTACCACACCTCCTGTAACACCTGGTATTACCACACCTCCTGTAACACCTGGTATTACCACACCTCCTGTAACACCTGGTATTACCACACCTCCTGTAACACCTGGTATTACCACACCTCCTGTAACACCTGGTATTGCCACACCTGCTGTAACAACATGTGTTATTACCACACCTGCTGTAACACCTGGAATTACCACACCTGCTGTAACACCTGGAATTACCACACCTGCTGTAACACCTGGAATTACCACACCTGCTGTAACACCTGGAATTACTACACCTGCTGTAACACCTGGAATTACCACACCTGCTGTAACACCTAGAATTACCACACCTGCTGTATCACCTGGAATTACCACACCTGCTGTACCATGAGGTGTTATTACCACCACATCTGCTGTAACACCTGCTATAACCACCACACCTGCTGTAACACCTGCTATAACCACCACACCTGCTGTAACACCTGGTATTACTACCACACCTGTTGTAACACCTGCTATAACCACCACACCTGCTGTAACACCTGGTATTACTACCACACCTGTTGTAACACCTGCTATAACCACCACCACACCTGCTGTAACACCTGGTATTACTACCACACCTGTTGTAACACCTAGTATTATTGCTGGTATTAGTACCAGTCATCACACCACCTGAGAGTACACTTATAAAGCTCTATATGGTGTAATTTTTGCAGTACGATCCTGATCATGCTGTCACTTTACAGCATGATCCTGATCATACTGTCACTTTACAGCATGATCCTGATCATACTGTCACTTTACAGCATGATCCTGATCATACTGTCACTTTACAGCATGATCCTGATCATACTGTCACTTTACAGCATGATCCTGATCATACTGTCACTTTACAGCATGATCCTGATCATGCTGTCACTTTACAGCATGATCCTGATCATACTGTCACTTTACAGCATGATCCTGATCATACTGTCACTTTACAGCATGATCCTGATCATACTGTCACTTACAGCATGATCCTGATATACTGTCACTTTACAGCATGATCCTGATCTACTGTCACTTTACAGCATGATCCTGATCATACTGTCACTTTACAGCATGATCCTGATCATACTGTCACTTTACAGCATGATCCTGATCATACTGTCACTTACAGCATGATCCTGATCATGCTGTCACTTACAGCATGATCCTGATCATGCTGTCACTTTACAGCATGATCCTGATCATGCTGTCACTTTACAGCATGATCCTGATCATACTGTCACTTACAGCATGATCCTGATCATGCTGTCACTTTACAGCATGATCCTGATCATGCTGTCACTTTACAGCATGATCCTGATCATGCTGTCACTTTACAGCATGATCCTGATCATGCTGTCACTTTACAGCATGATCCTGATCATGCTGGTCACTTTACAGCATGATCCTGATCATGCTGTCACTTTACAGCATGATCCTGATCATGCTGTCACTTTACAGCATGATCCTGATCATACTGTCACTTTACAGCATGATCCTGATCATGCCATCACTTTACGGCATGATCCTGATCATGCTGTCACTTTACAGCATGATCCTGATCATGCTGTCACTTTACAGCATGATCCTGATCATGCTGTCACTTTACAGCATGATCCTGATCATGCTGTCACTTTACAGCATGATCCTGATCATGCTGTCACTTTACAGCATGATCCTGATCATGCTGTCACTTTACGGCATGATCCTGATCATACTGTCACTTTAAGCATGATCCTGATCATGCTGTCACTTTACAGCATGATCCTGATCATGCTGTCACTTTACAGCATGATCCTGATCATGCTGTCACTTTACAGCATGATCCTGATCATGCTGTCACTTTACAGCATGATCCTGATCATGCTGTCACTTTACGGCATGATCCTGATCATGCTGTCACTTTACAGCATGATCCTGATCATGCTGTCACTTTACAGCATGATCCTGATCATGCTGTCACTTTACGGCATGATCCTGATCATGCTGTCACTTTACGGCATGATCCTGATCATGCTGTCACTTTACGGCATGATCCTGATCATGCTGTCACTTTACAGCATGATCCTGATCATGCTGTCACTTTACGGCATGATCCTGATCATGCTGTCACTTTACGGCATGATCCTGATCATGCCATCACTTTACGGCATGATCCTGATCATGCCTTCACTTTACGGCATGATCCTGATCATGCCGTCACTTTACGGCATGATCCTGATCATGCCGTCACTTTATGGCATGATCCTGTTCATGCCATCACTTTACGGCATGATCCTGATCATGCCGTCACTTTATGGCATGATCCTGTTCATGCCATCACTTTACGGCATGATCCTGATCATGCCGTCACTTTACGGCATGATCCTGATCATGCCGTTACTTTATGGCACGATCCTGATCATGCAGTCACTTTACGGCATGATCCTGATCATACCATTACTTTACAGCATGTTTCTGACCATGTGGTCACTTTACGCTGATCGTGTTCATACCGTCACTGCTAAATAGATATGTTCAATTCTATTTTGCAGTTATTTTGTTTATTAGTGTCAACACTGGTAAACTTCTCAAAAGAGGACCTCAGAAATGTTAAAATCCCAAATTTTATTTTTATCATTGTAAGGGAAGTAGAGTGGGCGCACTCTACAGGCAATGCTGCCATATGGAGTGTCAGCCAATACTCCGGCAAGAGAGTGATTAACCCTTAAACTGTCCAAACATAGATCTACGTTCACTCGCATAGCACTTCGAACGTAGATAAACGTTCGATTTTACATGTTTTCTTATTAAAAAAAACGTTCGGAGCGCTACATGAGTAAACATAAATCTACATTTGAATAGTTTAAGTGTTAAATGATTGATGGTGGAAGTGGTTTATTTTTCTTTGTTGAGTCGCTAAACCTAGGTGGGAGATGGCCAGCGTTAATTTTTTTTTTTTAACATGCTGGCCATCTCCCACCAAGGCAGGCGACCCAAAAAAGATGGAACACTTTCACCATTACTCACTCCATCACTGTCTTGCCAGAGGAGTGTTAATGCTACAGTTTAGATGTGCTTCCAACACTGCAAATATCCCTACTCCACAAAGGGAGACTAGGGATGAGACGACACAAAAACTTCTGCTGATGCTGATACACTGTTTCAGGACGATACGGATACTAGGCAATAGCAGCAGTACCCAGGTGAGCACACATGCACAGAGCCAGGCACTATGGCTCAACCCCAACAAACTTAAATAGGCAAGTCCACACCTACACCAACATGAGATATAAGCACCAACACATATTGTATTACTATTACTATAATCATTATTATAACTATTATTTAGCTGTGAATGTTGACCAAGTACCAGCCCAGCCACGTGCATCCGACATTAGTTACACACAATACACTCTTGTAGAAGTGATTGCGATTCAAACTCAGTGTTACCCTCCAGATATTACCACTGAACACTAGCACTCCACCACACTGAAAGAGGAAACTAGCAGTGTTTCCCTCTAGATATTAACACTGTCACTATACCACAGAGGGAGGCAAGGCAGGTCACACCATGGAAGACTGGTAATAGCAACAAGTGCAGCTTAATAAAGAGTGATAAAAGAAAGCAGCTTATAAAAAGTGTACTTCCTCTATAGTGTAGTTGCTGCTTGTGATTCCCTTATAATCCTGCACATGATGATCATGAGGAAGTGCTAAACCTGTAGAGGTGCTAGAGTGCCTGGGGTAACAGTAGGTAATCAAGTGTGATCTAAGGAAGAGAGGGGCAGCTACATTTCCATACATTAACATTTTAGCAGCATCAAGGCTGCTCTGACAAACTGGCAACCTCACACCTGCCAGCTAACTAGTTTGAATCTCCATCACTTCTCAAATATCTTGCATTCATTAATATTAAACATAAAAGTGGAGAGATACGTACGACCGCCAGGGACGCCATGTCCCTTACCACCGTAGCGTCACCCTCCAGCGACGACTGATTGTGCAGCGAATTGAGGGAGTCGGAAGGCGAGTGTGGCATGGGTTGCATAGACGTACGTCGCCGACGAGCGTAACTACAGTTGTTAGGGATCTTGTAGGCACATCGCTTGTGAAAGTTGAGGCCACAACCTGTAATACAGTACTCTTGTATAATACACCATGGTAAAGACCAATAAATCCACAATCACTCTGTCTGCAGCAGTTCAACACTAATCCACAATACTCTGGCTGCAGCAGCTCACAACTAATCCACAATATTCTGGCTGCAGCAGCTCTCAACTAATCCACAATATTCGGGCTGCAGCAAGCTCACAACTAATCCACAATATTCGGGCTGCAGAAGCTCACAACTAATCCACAATATTCAGGCTGCAGCAGCTCACAACTAATCCACAATATTCAGGCTGCAGCAGCTCACAACTAATCCACAATATTCAGGCTGCAGCAGCTCACAACTAATCCACAATATTCAGGCTGCAGCAGCTCACAACTAATCCACAATATTCAGGCTGCAGCAGCTCACAACTAATCCACAATATTCAGGCTGCAGCAGCTCACAACTAATCCACAATACTCTGGCTGCAGCAGTTCACAACCCACAAAATGATGCAAATGATGGGGAAGCACTAAGTTAACAAGGGTCAAACGGTAGCTGATAAATGGGAGGTATTTAGTACTGATCAAAGGAATGGGAGAGTAGCTTCAATTCCTACAATCAAGAGCCTTCATCAGCAGGAAAGCTTCCCTCTTGAAGGGTCCCTGAGGGGAATACCAGTCATCACTCTTCAAAAGTTTTTCTATTTAAAACACGAACATAGTTCACCTAATACTAAAGTTTAGGTCAACTTTTTCAAGTAGTAATTATACACAAGAACAAAATTACATCACAAAGCATTATAAGAGCAGCAAACATAAACCCTGTCAGTGGAGAACATTTAAAAATATTACATTACCCACAACAGATAGTACTACCATCCTGGGCAGTTACTACAACCTTACATTACCCACACACAACAGATAGTACTACCATCCTGGGCAGTTACTACAACCTTACATTACCCACACACAACAGATAGTACTACCATCCTGGGCAGTTACTACAACCTTACATTACCCACACACAACAGATAGTACTACCATCCTGGGCAGTTACTACAACCTTACATTACCCACACACAACAGATAGTACTACCATCCTGGGCAGTTACTACAACCTTACATTACCCACACACAACAGATAGTACTACCATCCTGGGCAGTTACTACAACCTTACATTACCCACACACAACAGATAGTACTACCATCCTGGGCAGTTACTACAACCTTACATTACCCACACACAACAGATAGTATTACCATCCAGGGTAGTTACTACAACCTTACATTCAATTCAATTCAATTCAATTCAAAGTTCATTCTCTATAAAGATTACAATGTTGAATTTACAGAATTTGGTTGTGTGGTTTACACGTAGTTAAATAATGATTACAGAGTGTATCATTAGAACGCCTAGCATGGCTAGGCATTTCGGGCAGACTTAGTTTAATTCTTTATTTTAAAATATTACAAATTATGAGGTAAGTTGGTATTATGGGTAAGTGACTAAATACTAGTTTGTGAGTTTAGCAATGTGAATGCTTTTGTTTTGGCACAGTACATAGTTTCAGTATTGGAGTATCATAGGATTCATTATTTTAAGATTGAGATTAATATTTCTGTTTATGGTCAAATGGGTGAGTGAGTGTAAGTGTGAACCACCAGGTGGTATTCGTGTAGTTAGTTGATGGGGTTTATCAGGGAGATAAGATGTTTTCTAATGGTAGTTTTGAAGGTGATGAATGTGTCTGCAGTTCTAGAGTTCTCAGGTAGGGTGTTCCAGATTTTAGGGCCTTTGACATACATTGAATTTTTGTAAAGGTTTAGTCGGACATGGGGAATGTCGTAGAGATGCTTGTGTCTGGTGTTATGCCTGTGGGTTCTGTCACAACTATCAAGAAAGCGTTTTAGGTCAAGGTTGATATTGGAGTTTAAGGTCCTGTAGATGTAGATTGCACAGTAGTAAGTGTGGATGTACTGAACTGGGAGTAAGTTTAGGTCTATGAAGAGTGGGGGGGTGTGTTGCCAGGGATGGGATTTAGTGATTATTCTTACTGCAGCTTTTTGTTGGGTTATTATTGGCTTTAGGTGTGTTGTTGCAGTTGATCCCCAAGCACAAATAGCATAGGTGAGGTATGGATAAATAAGTGAGTGGTATAGTGTGAGAAGGGCAGCTTGCGGCACGTAGTATCGTATCCTGGGTAGTTACTACAACCTTACATTACCCACACACAACAGATAGTACTACCATCCAGGGTAGTTACTACAACCTTACATTACCCACACACAACAGATAGTACTACCATCCTGGATAGTCTACTACAATGTTACATTACCTACACATAACAGACAGTACTACCATCCTGGGTAGTCTATTACAACCTTACATTACTCACACATAACAGACAGTACAGTGGCACCCCAGATTAAGACGTCATCAGAATAAATAATAATCAGAATAAGTAATGTTTTTGCGTCAAAATATTGGCTCGGTGAACATCACTGAACGTCATTCATGTCGGGGTCTGAGCTGCCCAGTATGTCATTGTTTACCAGACAGTGAGGATGATCCCATGTGTTCATACGATACATTTTGTATTATTCCATTCTTTTTAGTGCTTGTAATTGCTAAGTAAGCCACCATGGGCCCAAAGAAAGCTTCTAATGCCAGCCAGCCCTTTGGTAAAGGGCTGAGAGAGAGGGAAGAATGTGCCTTTTTCAGTGATTCTACAATATGTACAATACTAAAGCAGCAGGAGTCTATAAAGGCTATAGTGCCAGCCAGCAATAAAGTGTAGCATTAACTGCAGCAAGTTAAGCGATTAATCGACAGAAAAAGGAAAGCATGAACCTAACTCCTCCAATGTTGTTGGAGTTATATAGGGCGACTGACACACCGCTGCCTCTACCGCCACCTCCACTACCACTATGTATATGTTACACTCTCACTGGCCCTTACACCCAATAACACAGCAACACTCGTGACATACTTAATGATGTACAGTGGTCCTTTGCTTTTCGTAGTTCTTGGCAATGGTAAATTTTGCCAATCATAGGGGTATTTTCGTATAAACATGGACTCGCTTTTCATAGGTTGACTCGTGAACAGTAGTTCGTCCGGGACGCGTACGCACGGTGTGAGCCGGGGCGGCCTCCCTACCCAGCCAGTCTGGCATTGTTTACCAGTGAGTGAAGGTCCCCTCAAGTGCTCCTACGAAATATTTCATAATATTCCACTCAATTTAGTGCTTGCAATTACTAAATAAGCTACCATGGCTCCAAAGAAAGCTCCTAGTGCCAAGCCTGTGTAAAGAAGGTGAGAAATATGTACAGTGACAAAGTGTTGGGCCATTTTCGGGAAGTGTTAAAGAGACGCCAGAAACAGAGCTCTCTCCACAGTTACTTTGCGAGACAGGACTAGAGTGACTCTCAAGGTGGTCCTAGTGGCATTAAGAAACTGAGAAGAGAAGCAACCCCAGAGAAGCAATTGGTACCTGAGGTGTTGCTGGAAGGGGATTCCCCTTCCAAACTGTAAACAATCCAATCTCTCTCCTCCTCCATTCTCCCATACACTAAGAAGAATCTCCAATAAAGGTAAGTGTTATGCTGTTAATGTTTCATTCATCATTTCCCATTGTATTGCTTATGTACTACATGTATATTTCATGTAAAAATTTTTTTGTTTTAATACTTCTGGGTGTCAGGAACGGATTAATTGTATTTACATTATTTCTTATGGGGAAAATTGATTCGCAAATCGTAAATTTCATTTATAGTAACGGCTCCAGGAACGGATTAATTATGAAAAACGAGGGACCACTGTATTTTATTCATTGTAGAGTGTATATCATGTTTCTATGTTATTAATATTGTTTCTTATGTCATATTAGATGAATTGTGCTAGATAAATAAATAAATAAATAAGAGCTGATATTAGTGCCATATTGAACGACTATCTTGTCCTGTCTCCCAACACAACTCCTAACATACGCCAGAAACAGACCTCTCTGGAATACTTTTTTGAGTGACAGGGGTCCAGTGACTCAAGCTGGTCTTAGTGGCATTAAAAAACAAAGGAGGGAAGCAGCCCAGGATAAGGACTTGGTACCTGAAGTCTTTATGGAGTGGGATTCCCCTTCCAAACAATTGTAAACTCCTCCATCCTCTCCCCTCCTCCCATCTTCCATACATCACCATGTCTTCAATGAAGGTAAGTGTGATGTTATTATTGTTTTGTTCTTCATGTATCATTGTTTTCTGTGTAGATAAATGTATATTTCATGTAGAAAACATTTTTTAATACTTTTGGATGTCAAACGGATTAATTGGATTTTCATTATTTCTTATGGGGAAAACTAATTCGGAATAAGTCAGATTCGGGATAAGTCACTCACTCTAGAACAGATTAATTTCATAATCCAGGGGTCCACTGTACTACCATCCTGGGTAATCTATTACAACCTTACATTACCCACACATAACAGACAGTACTACCATCCTGGGTAATCTAATACAACCTTACATTACCCACACATACACACAGTACTACTATCTTGGGTAGTCTACTACAACCTTACATTACCCCTACACATAACAAATAGTACTACAGTACTGTCCTGGGTAATCTAATAATCATCAACATTGGTAATAATATACATACCTTCACATTTAAGACCTTGTCTAACTAAGCCCCACAACATTTCACCACAGAAGTCACAGAAGGTGGGAGTCTTGTAGGAGTGAACATAAAGCATGTGTGGCCGGATCTGCACCTCATCTGATGGATTGTGAGCTGCAATATAATTAACACTTGTTACACTTATCCAACATAACACTACTGTTCAACACAACTACCACTGTCCTGCCACCAAGGTACAGCAAAATATTTATTTATTTATTTATTAACAATTTGAGCACACATACAGAGGTACAAAAAAATACAGATAAGAGCAGCATGCCAAAGCCACTTATACTATGCATAGCATTATGGGCTGGCTTAAAATTAACTTAAGATTAACTAAGCAATGATGAAATCAGTGATAAAACATTAATGTCTTGCCAGAAGTGAGATATCACAATTAACCCTGGCAGTATCCATCACATAGAACTATATCACCTAACTCAGGGGTCCCTCACGTAGTTCTATGTCATGAGCTCAGCTCACTCAAGCTGCGAGTGGTAAATTTTGGCCTAGACATGAGTGAACAGGTCTGTGTGGCCAGTGTGCACCATATAAAACTGCACCATGCAATGCATGATGGGAAAACAAAACAGTGTGCATGGTTTAACCCTTAAATGGTCCAAACGTATATATACGTTTTTTCAACATCTGAAAGTATGTAAAAAATGTAGATCTTTTTTTTTTTTTGGTTTTACATGTGAAAACGTGTAAAAAACTTTTATCTACATTTTTCTTTTGTTATATTTGAAAATATGTAAAAAAAAGTAGATCTACTTTTGTAGCACTACGAATTTGAACGTCGATCTGTTTGGACCGTTTAAGGGTTAAAACAGTGATTTTGTGGCATTTTCTCAAGACAGTTTTAATGGTTTTACTGGCTGTTTCTTCGTATCATTTGACAGAATGGAAAAAATTACATCATAAATGATACCTGGAAAATTCCAGTGGGACTGGTTCCACATTTGCTCATTGAGATGACTCCCTACAAATAAACAAGGCTTGCTAGATGGTGCAAAATACCCACAATGAAAAGCAGGGGTGTAGTGAGTCCACTAAGAGAACCCAACCTGTGTAGAGTAACTAAGAGTCTTCAACACCCTCCATTCATAAATAAGAGGAAGTAATATAATCACCCCTCCCCACCTACCTTCAAGAGGCAACATAAGTTACATGTTGTAATAAAGTTGGTAGAATTAACGACAATACGTAAAGTAAAGTAAAAGGACACAAGTACAACTAATGTGACATTTTTATTGTGGCAACGTTTCGTTCTCCAGGAGCTTTGTCAAGCCGTAACAGCTTGACAAAGCTCCTGGAAAGCGAAACATTGCCACAATTAAAATGTCACATTAGTTGTACTTGTAACTTATGTTGTAAAGTAAAAGGACACATCTCTTGTCCCATTATATTTCTATTGTAACTAAGTAACTTGTTCTATCTTCATCTCTGTTCAATCACTCCACAAAACAGAAGAACACTGAAGTAGCTACATCTGTTATATCTCTTTATTAGCTACCTTTCTTATTGGGTATATAACTGTAGATAGGTACTTAAAAAATACTACTTAACAGTCTATGTCTAATTCTTAAGTAGTTTAACCCTTTCAGGGTCCGTGCCGTAGTTCTACGGCTTTGAGTTGAGGGTCCAAACCGTAGATCTACGCCATGAGCTTAGCTCACTCTGATAAGCTGTGAGCGGTAAATTTGGGCCTAGATATGAGAAAATACATCTATGTGGTATGTGTGCACCACATAAAACAAATCCTGCAGCACACTGTGTATAATGAGAGAAAAAAACGAGACCGTAATTTTTTATTAAAACGGCAACTTTGAAATGTTTTTTCCTATGTTTTTTTAATAGTTGTATTTGCGATTTCTTGGTCTCATTTGATAGAATGGAAGATATATTAAAGAAATAGAGATGATTTTGATTGGTTTTAGTACTGAAAATGGCTTGAAACTGAGCTCAAAACAGCAGAAATGTTAAATTTTTGCAGATGTTCAAGAGTAAACAAATGACATCACGCGTCCAATACACGTCAAGTGGTGGGTCTAATATACGTTCACAAATGTGGTGAAATGACAGTAGTTTGTTGGATTATGTATTGGTAGATAAAAGACTGTTGAGTAGACTTCAGGATGTACATGTTTATAGAGGGGCCACAGATATATCAGATCACTTTCTAGTTGTAGCTACACTGAGAGTAAAAGGTAGATGGGATACAAGGAGAATAGAAGCATCAGGGAAGAGAGAGGTGAAGGTTTATAAACTAAAAGAGGAGGCAGTTAGGGTAAGATATAAACAGCTATTGGAGGATAGATGGGCTAATGAGAGCATAGGCAATGGGGTCGAAGAGGTATGGGGTAGGTTTAAAAATGTAGTGTTAGAGTGTTTCAGCAGAAGTTTGTGGTTACAGGAAAGTGGGTGCAGGAGGAAGAGGAGCGATTGGTGGGAAAGATGAAGTAAAGAGAGTAGTAAGGGAGAAAAAGTTAGCATATGAGAAGTTTTTACAAAGTAGAAGTGATGCAAGGAGGGAAAAGTATATGGAGAAAAAGAGAGAAGTTAAGAGAGTGGTGAAGCAATGTAAAAAGAGAGCAAATGAGAGAGTGGGTGAGATGTTATCAAAAAATTTTTTGGAAAATAAGAAAAAGTTTTGGAGTGAGTTTAACAAGTTAAGAAAGCCTAGAGAACAAATGGATTTGTCAGTTAAAAATAGGAGAGGAGAGTTTTTAAAATGAGATTTAGAGGTTTTGGAAGATGGAAGGAATATTTTGGGGAATTGTTAAATGTTGATGAAGATAGGGAAGTTTGTGATTTCTTTAGGGCAAGGAGGAATAACATCTTGTGGGAGTGGGGAAGAGCCGTTGTGAGTGTGGGGGAAGTTCTGAGGCAGTAGGTAAAATGAAAGGGGGTAAGGAAAGCCGGGATTGATGGGATAAAGATAGAAATGTTAAAAGCAGGTGGGGATATAGTTTTTGGAGTGGTTGGTGCAATTATTTAATAAATGTATGGAAGAGGGAAAGGTACCTAGGGATTGGCAGAGAGCATGCATATTTTCCTTTTGTATAAAGGCAAAGGGGATAAAGAGAGTGCAAAAATTATAGGGGGATAAGTCTGTTGAGTGTACCTGGTAAGTGTATGGTAGAGTATAAATTGAAAGAATTAAGAGAAGACGGAGAATAGGATAGCAGATGAACAAGGGGGGCTTTAGGAAAGGTAGGGGGTGTGTGGGACCAGGTGTTTACAGTGAAACTATTTAAATGAACAAATATTTAGATAAGGCTAAAGAGGTCTTGTGGCATTTATGGATTTGGAAAAGGCGTATGACAGGGTGGATAGGGGGGCAATGTGGCAGATGTTGCAGGTGTATGGTGGGAGGAGGTAGGTTACTGAAAGCAGTGAAGAGTTTTTACGAGGATAGTGAGGCTCAATTAGAGTATGTAGGAAAGAGGGAAATTTTTTCCCAGTAAAAGTAGGCCTTTGACAAGGATGTGTGATGTCACCGTGGTTGTTTAATATATTTATAGATGGGTTGTAAGAGAAGTAAATGCGAGGGTCTTGGCAAGAGGCGTGGAGTTAAAAATAAAGAATCACACACAAAGTGGGAGTTGTCCACAGCTGCTCTTTGCTGATGACACTGTGCTCTTGGGAGATTCTGAAGAGAAGTTGCAGAGATTGGTGGATGAATTTGGTAGGGTGTGCAAAAGAAGAAAATTAAAGGTGAATACAGGAAAGAGTAAAAGGGTTTTGAGGATAACAAAAAGATTAGGTGATGAAAGATTGAATATCAGATTGGAGGGAGAGAGTATGGAGGAGGTGAACGTATTCAGATATTTGGGAGTGGACGTGTCAGCGGGTGGGTCCTATGAAAGATGAGGTGAATCATAGAATTGATGAGGAAAAAAGAGTGAAATGGGGCATTAGGAAAATTGTGGAACAAAGAACTTTGTCCTTGGAGGCAAAGAGGGGGATGTATGAGAGTATAGTTTACCACGCCTTATATGGGGGTAAGCATGGGTGATGAATGTTGCAGGGGAGAAGGCATGAGGCAGGGAGATGTCATGTTGAGGCAATGGTGGTGTAATATAATGCAGGAAAATTTTCGTAGTTTGGAAGTTAGGAGGAGGTGCGGGATTACCAAAAAATGTTGTCCAGAGGGCTGAGGAAGGGTTTGTTGAGGTGGTTGGGACATGTAGAGAGAATGGAGCGAAACAGAATGACTTCAAAGTGTATCAGTCTGTAGTGGAAGGAAGGGGGGGTAGGGGTCGGCCTAGGAAGGGTTGGAGGGAGGGGGAAAAGGAGGCTTTGTGTGCGAGGGGCTTGGACTTCCAGCAGGCATGCGTGAGCGTGTTTGATAGGATGAATGGAGACAAATGTTTTTAATACTTGACGTGCTGTTGGAGTGTGAGCAAAGTAACATTTATGAAGGGATTCAGGGAAACCGGCAGGCCGGACTTGAGTCCTGGAGATGGGAAGTACAGTGCCTGCACTCTGAAGGAGGGGTGTTAATGTTGCAGTTTAAAAACTGTAGTATAAAGCACCCTTCTGGCAAGACAGTGATGGGTGAATGATGGTGAAAGTTTTTCTTTTTCGGGCCACCCTGCCTTGGTGGGAATCGGCCGGTGTGATAATAAAAAAAAAAAAAAAATAAAATGTGGTGATATTATTTATACAATTATTACAGTACTGCATAATAGTAAATCATCTATTTTTTGGTTTGAATAAAAATTCATTATGTGAATAAAAAATCAAAATGGAATTCATTTGTAAAGCCTGAAAACATAACTAATAAACAGAGGAAATGTTAGTTTAGTGCCAGGAATGCCTGCATTGTTTATTCTGGACCCTGTTTTGAAATTGGAATATTTTGAACTTTGCATTAAATTGGCCAAATTACCAATTTCCGATCACTATTTTGTAGTTGAAACAGTTGACTTGGCGATTTCTTGTGCTCAATCGATAGAATAGAAGTAATACTAGTGAAAAAGCTAAAAATTTGGTCGACTGGAATAATGTAATTGGCCTAAAATAGGAGTCAAAGTCGGCAAAAATTGCCAATGCGTAAATATCGCTGACATATCAAAATCTGCGAGCATAATTTCGTCAATTTTCCATCAAATTTTGTACTTTTTGTTTTATTACCTTCAGAAAAAGATTCTCTACCATTTCATAAGAAAAAATAATAATTTTTTTTTTTTTAATTCTTGGACCCTGGTGCACACTTGAAATTTGGCCTCTGGACCCTAAAAGGGTTAAGCTGTAGAAATAGTTTGTCTGAAATTCATTGCATACTAATGGCTTATTTTTGTGCCTAACTATGTTTTATTACATGTAAACTACATTACTTTCTACCACAAAGAAATAAAAATTTGTATTTGTACTGTAACTAGTTGATGGCCAGCCAGACAATGGCCTAGTAACAGCCTGGCTGATCAAACACACCACACTTGATAGTCACCAGGTTATGGTACACACACAGGAGAGAGCATGGCCAGCACCAACAGCCCCAGTGATCAAACACCACACACTTGATGATCACCAGGCTATGGTACACACACAGGAGAGAGCATGGCCAGCACCAACAGCCCCAGTGATCAAACACCACACACTTGATGATCACCAGGCTATGGTACACACACAGGAGAGTGCATGGCCAGCACCAACAGCCTGAGTGATCAACCACTCACCTGACATGACGATCTCAACTAAAGTGTCCTGAGTAACTTCCGAAGCTGCGTTGATGATCTGAAGAATGTTAGGAGAGTCGTAGTCGTGGCGGAAGAGAATTAACCTCTCGTTTAGTTTATTGAGGCTGTGTTCAGGGAACTGAAAGATAAGTAAACATTATCAATATAAACAAGCAAACTTGCAGAAAAAAATAACCCAGGATAATTGTCAAATAACTTGTTAAAACCTAATATTCTTATTCAACTGTTAATTATAGTGAAGATAGGGGGTGAGAGACTGAGTGAGTGTGAGAGTGTGCGCGCGCGCGCACAATCACCTATTTGTGGTTGCAAGGGTCGAGACATAGCTCCTGTGCGTACACACACACGAGCGCGCATGCACACACACACACACACACACACACACACACACACACACACGCACCAAGCACATGCACACACACACACACACACGAGCGCGCATGCACACACACACACACACACACACACACACGAGCGTACATGCACACACACACACACACACGGCATCTGTTATCATACCTGTAAGCTTGGTTTCTGTGAGAGCTATGATGTCCGGTGATGCTTCTTTGACTCTTTCATGCCACTCCTCCCACTTATTTGTTATTCCATCAGCGTTTGTGTACCATACCTTCAGTTTCCTTTCCAACACTGTGGTTTGGGGGGCCTGTGAGGGTGGGAGACCTGGTGGCATACTGTGGGATTCTATAGCTCGGTGTTGGGTGGAGACTGTGGGTCTCCACCCAACACCGAGCTATAGAATCCCACAGTATGCCACCAGGTCTCCCACCCTCACAGGCCCCCCAAACCACAGTGTTGGAAAGGAAACTGAAGGTATGGTATACAAACGCTGATGGAATAACAAATAAGTGGGAGGAGTGGCATGAAAGAGTCAAAGAAGCATCACCGGACATCATAGCTCTCACAGAAACCAAGCTTACAGGTATGATAACAGATGCCATCTTTCCAACGGGATACCAAATCCTGAGGAAAGACAGAGGGAACAGGGGGGGTGGAGGAGTGGCGTTGCTGATCAAAAATCGCTGGAATTTTGATGAGCTGGAGAGAGGAGACAGCGGAGAAGAAAGTGATTACATAGCGGGAACACTTCACTCTGGAGGTCCCAAGGTGGTAATAGCAGTGATGTATAACCCACCACAGAACAGCAGGAGGCCAAGGCAAGAGTACGACGAGAGCAATAGAGCGATGGTTGACACACTGGCTAGAGTGGCCAGAAGAGCTCATGCATGCAGGGCAAAGCTCCTGATCATGGGTGACTTTAACCACAAGGAGATCGATTGGGAGAACTTGGACCCACATGGGGGCCAAGATACATGGAGGGCTAAGATGATGGAGGTGGTACTGGAAAACTTCATGTGCCAACACGTAAGGGACACTACAAGAGAGAGGAGAGGAGAGGATGAACCAGCAAGGCTGGACTTAGTATTCACCTTGAGTAGTGCAAATATCGAGGACATCACGTATGAAAGACCCCTTGGGGCCAGTGACCATGTGGTTTTAAGCTTCGAATACACAGTAGACCTACAAGTGGAGGGAGAAGCAGGAAGGCCAGGACGAATGAAGCCAAACTACAAGAAAGGGGACTACACAGGAATGAGGAACTACCTGAACGGGGTTCAGTGGGACAGAGAAATGGCAGGGAAGCCAGTTAATGAGATGATGGAATATGTAGCAACAAAATGCAAGGAGGCTGAGGAGAGGTTTGTACCCAAGGGTAACAGGAATAATGAAAAAGCCAGGATGAGCCCATGGTTTACCCAAAGGTGCAGGGAGGCAAAAACCAAGTGTGCTAGGGAATGGAAGAAATATAGAAGGCAAAGGACCCAGGAGAATAAGGAGAACAGTCGTAGAGCCAGAAACGAATATGCACAGATAAGAAGGGAGCCCAAAGACAATATGAAAATGACATAGCAGCAAAAGCCAAATCTGACCCGAAACTGTTGTACAGCCACATCAGGAGGAAAACAACAGTCAAGGACCAGGTAATCAGGCTAAGGAAGGAAGGAGGAGAGACAACAAGAAATGACCGTGAAGTATGTGAAGAACTCAACAAGAGATTCAAAGAAGTGTTCACAGAGGAGACAGAAGGGACTCCAGAAAGACGGAGAGGTGGGGCACACCACCAAGTGCTGGACACAGTGCACACAACCGAGGAAGAAGTGAAGAGGCTTATGAGTGAGCTAGATACCTCAAAGGCAATGGGGCCAGATAACATCTCCCCATGGGTATTGAGAGAGGGAGCAGAGGCGCTGTGTGTACCCCTAACAACAATATTCAATACATCTATCGAAACAGGGAGATTGCCTGAGGCATGGAAGACAGCAAATGTAGTCCCAATCTTTAAAAAAAGGAGACAGAAGACATGAAGCATTAAACTACAGACCAGTGTCACTGACATGTATAGTATGCAAAATCATGGAGAAGATTATCAGGAGAAGAGTGGTGGAACACCTAGAAAGCAACTATCTCATCAACAGCAGCCAACATGGTTTCAGGGACGGGAAATCCTGTGTCAAAAACCTACTGGAGTTCTATGACATGGTGACAGCAGTAAGACAAGAGAGAGAGGGGTGGGTGGATTGCATTTTCTTGGACTGCAAGAAGGCGTTTGACACAGTTCCACACAAGAGATTGGTGCAAAAACTGGAGGACCAAGCAGGGATAACAGGGAAGGCACTACAATGGATCAGGGAATACTTGTCAGGAAGACAGCAGCGAGTCATGGTACGTGGCAAGGTGTCAGAGTGGGCACCTGTGACCAGCGGGGTCCCGCAGGGGTCAGTCCTAGGACCAGTGCTGTTTCTGGTATTTGTGAACGACATGACGGAAGGAATAGACTCTGAGGTGTCCCTGTTTGCAGATGACGTGAAGATGATGAGAAGAATTCACTCGATCAAAGACCAGGCAGAACTACAAAGGGATCTGGACAGGCTGCAGACCTGGTCCAGCAATTGGCTCCTGGAGTTCAATCCCACCAAGTGCAAAGTCATGAAGATTGGGGAAGGGCAAAGAAGACCGCAGACGGAGTACAGTCTAGGAGGCCAGAGACTACAAACCTCACTCAAGGAAAAAGATCTTGGGGTGAGTATAACACCAGGCACATCTCCTGAAGCGCACATCAACCAAATAACTGCTGCAGCATATGGGCGCCTAGCAAACCTCAGAACAGCATTCCGACATCTTAATAAGGAATCATTCAGGACCCTGTACACCGTGTACGTTAGGCCCATATTGGAGTATGCGGCACCAGTTTGGAACCCACACCTTGCCAAGCACGTAAAGAAACTAGAGAAAGTGCAAAGGTTTGCAACAAGACTAGTCCCAGAGCTAAGAGGTATGTCCTACAAGGAGAGGTTAAGGGAAATCAACCTGACGACACTGGAGAACAGGAGAGATAGGGGGGACATGATAACGACATACAAAATACTGAGAGGAATTGACAAGGTGGACAAAGCCAGGATGTTCCAGAGATTGGACACAGTAACAAGAGGACACAGTTGGAAGTTGAAGAACAGATGAATCACAGGGATGTTAGGAAGTATTTCTTCAGTCACAGAGTAGTCAGTAAGTGGAATAGTTTGGGAAGCGATGTAGTGGAGGCAGGATCCATACATAGCTTTAAGCAGAGGTATGATAAAGCTCACGGCTCAGGGAGAGTGACCTAGTAGCGATCAGTGAAGAGGCAGGGCCTGGAGCTCGGACTCGACCCCTGCAACCTCAACTAGGCGAGTAGGTGAGTACACACACATGCAAGAGAGAGGGAGAGTGAGAGTGCATGTATCCACCTGTCTGTGGTTAAAGTGGTCAAGTTGTGGAGGCAAGGTGTTATATTACCTGGTGTGCAGTTGTAAATAATGTACCTTCAATGTTTTGTGTTACAGGCTCCAGCAGAGCATCATCTTGCAATATACAATACAGTAAATCCTATGCACTAATAGGAGTGGGGGTGACTATCCAAGTATCCCTTAAATCAGAATAATTTTTCTCCATGGGGAGGTGTAGAATAAAATGATACAGCAGTAAAGTACTCCAGTGTAGTGTACACACTATTTATGTATGCCTCCCAGCATACATAAGGGGGGTTACCAATAGACCCCTGACTGTCTTCAAGCAGGCGCTGGACAGGTACCTCAAGTCAGTATCTACCAGCCAGGCTGTGGTTCATACGTCGGTTTGCGTGCAGCCAGCAGTAACAGCCTGACTGATCAGGCCCTGATCCATTTGAGGCCTGGTCACAGACCAGGTTGCAGGGGCATTGACCCCCCAAAACCATCTCCAGGTATAGTACAATAAACATTAACAACAAAGCTGCTAAAAGTACACTTTAACCAGTAAATATTGTCCATAATTTTAAAAATCTGTTATATCAAAGGTACGTTACGTGATGAGTTTACTGGGCTGTAGTCAACTTTGTTAACTGACACCCTCCCACCAAGGGTGACCTAAAACAGAAGAACCACCACCATCATTCACTCCATCACTGTCTTGCCAGAGGTGCACCTACACTACAGTTTTAACCCTTTTACTGTTTCGGTCATATATATACATCTCAAGAGCCACCGTGTTTGATGTATATATACTCATAAATTCTCGCGGCTTCAAATCAAGCAGGAGAAAGCTGGTAGGCCCACATGTGAGAGAATGGGTCTGTGTGGTCAGTGTGCACCATATAAAAAAAAATCCTGCAGCACACATTGCATAATGAGAAAAAAAAAACTCTGAACGTTCTTTTTATTTAAAATGCCAAATTTGTAGTCTACTTTCGTATAGTATTTATAGTTGTATTCTCATTTTCTTGCTCTCATTTGATAGAATGGAAAACATATTATAGATTTTGATTGGTTTTACTATGAAAAGAACCTTGAAATGGAGCTCAAGGTAGGGAAAATGTTTGATTTTTGCCAAAATTCAAAATTCCAATAAATGTCCAAGTAGCCATTCTAATATGCAGTTATGAATGGTTGACATTATTTGTACAATTATTACAATACTGCAGTAGCCTGCATAACAGTAAATCTTCTATTTTTTGCTTGAATAAAAATTCAAATAGAAAGCAAGAGTAATATCAGAGGGGCTTGGAGACATGACTGATGAACAATG